GTGGTGGTGATGGTGTGGTGGTGGTAGGTGGGTGGTGATGGCAGTTGGGTGATAGTTATGGTGGTGGTGGCGGTTTGGTGGTGGGGGGCGATGCGGTGGTGGTGGTGATGCGTCGGTTGTTATGGTTGGTGGTTTAGTTGGTGATGATGGTGATGGTGGTGGCATGCGCGCGCCCGTGGGGTGGTGGGCGGTAAGGTGGTGGCGATGGTGTGGTGGCGGTGGTGGTTGGTGGTGATGTGATGGTGGTGGTGGTGGCGTGGTGGTGATGGTGGTTGCGCGGTGGTGGTGTGAGTGTGATGGGTGGTGGTGGTGTGATGTGATGTGTTGGTGATGGTGGTAGGTGGTGGTGATGTTGATGGTGGTGCGTCGTGGTGGCGATGGTGGTGGTGGCGGTGATGATGGTGGTGGTGGCGGTGGTGGTGGGCATGTATGTGATGGTGGTGTTGGTGGTGGTGGTGTTGCTGCGGCTGGTGGTGGTGTTGGATGTGCATGGTGGTGTGGTGGTGGTGGTGGTGGTGGTGTCGGTGTGGTGGTGGTGGTGATGGTGATGAGATGGTGGTGGTGGTGGTGGTGATGGTGGTGGTGATGATGGTGGTGGTGGTGGTAATGATGGTAGTGATGGTGATGTGATGGTGGTGATGATGGTGGTACCTTCTATCTCTCAGGAGCTGGTCACCGCCTGGTACATCGGCTTCCTCTGTCTCATCCTGGCCTCGTTCCTGGTGTACTTGGCAGAGAAGGGGGAGAACGACCACTTTGACACCTACGCAGATGCACTCTGGTGGGGCCTGGTGAGTTGTGGTCATTGTGGCTTTCCCTTTCCCTGCTGTCCCACCTGCCCACCAACTGAGGACATGCCCTTGTCACTGTGCTGGGACCAGACTGTCGCTGGCTGAGCCAGCTCCATACATCTCTTTGGGGCCACCTGCTGGCCGCCCGTGGTCATGATGGCTCGTGGTTGAGGCGGGGTGGCGGTTGCCACGCTGGCGGGGGAGCAGGTGGGGAGGGCTGGGCCCCAGGGAGCCTGAGCTCAGCTGCGGTGGGCATCATCCTTCCTCCTGAGTGATCCTACACCTGCTCTGTGTCCTGATCGTTGGGGGAAGGGGGAGAAGAGGCGTCTCTAGGAGATCTGTCCTGGGCAACCCTGGTCCAGGGACCAACCCCGTGACCTGGTGGCTGTGGGGGTGGGTGAGTGGGAGGCTTTGCCCTCTGTGCCCTTGGCTGGCTGCCACTGTCCTGGGCCTTCCTGTTCCTGGCCCCCACCCCTGGCCCTGCCCCTCAGGGTGAGAGAGGAGAGAATTTGAAGGGCAGCCGATCCTCTGGCCCCAGCTCAGCCTCCAGCCTGTCTGTCCAGGATGGTCTGGAGCCTGTGGGTCTGTGGCCCCTCTACTGGTCACCCCCTCCCTAGCCTCCCTGCTGCCGGGACCCCAGCCCACTTTCTTGGCCACCTGTCCCTGTGCTGTGGCCAGGCTTCTCTCGGAGCAAGTCGCCCCTGTCGAGAGGGTTCCTGGAAGCCTTCTGAAGGACCCCCTGGAGTGGGGTGGACGTGGGATCTCCGAGGCCCTGTGTTTTTGGAGACCAGGTGGCTCCGCAGGCCCCACTCTGATCAGGTCTGAACAGATCTGGGCCCCGGGTTCCTCCTCACCTGGGGCCACAGACAGCCTCAGGCTGGTGGTGCGCAGGGGCGGGGTCTGTGGTCTCCTGGGAGGCTGAGACCAGACCCCAGGCCCAGCCCCGCACACGCTGGCTGAGTGGGCTCAGCCCTGCGGGAAAGGTGTGGGCAGCTCCACCTGGTGCCTAAGCTGGATGCAGCTGATCTGAAGTTATTAATTGCATGAGACCCAGGCACTGTCTTCCCAGGCAGGGCTTGGGTGGGGGTTGAGAGCTGAGCGTGCCCCGGGGCCCAGGCTGTGGACCAGGCAGACGACCTGGACTCACTGAGCCATCGTGTGGTTCAGGCCCCACCGTAGGGTCAGCGTGAGGCCCAGGGCATCCTGAGCTGTGACTGCCGGGCCCTCGGGCTTTCAGTGGGGACAAGCCCATCCCCCAGGTCTTTTGTGGGCAAGTCTTCTTATCTTTACGATTGAATTGGGGTTTTTATTTGGGTGTTTTTTCTGAGTAATGCTTGTGTATATTTTTAAATGTCAGACAGTTCCTAAGCCTTATGGTGAGAATACAGCCCCGCTCTGTGGTCACGGTGCCCTCCCCGCTGGGTCCCTCTGCCGCGGCTGCGGCTGCTTCTGTGTTTTTCTTTGGGGTTTACCTGGTTAGTCTTAAACAGCAGATAGAGATGCTGGTATTTCTGATTCACACACACTAACTGTGTGCTTCCTACTGGGATAGGATGAGATCTACCCCCAATTTCCCTTTCTTGCAGCCTTTGGGGGTCCTCACCAGTGTGGGGGGAATCCCGCCCTCACCTCCCCGGCAGGCCAGGCCCCATCTGCCAGGCCTCCAGCTTCCTTTCCCTTGAGTTGGCGCCTACTTTGAAGGAGCAGGTCGGATGGCAGCTGGGAACATTTCAGGGGCAGAAATTTTCAGAGAGCTGTGTGTGACAGTGTCCCATCCATGTGACCCCCCTGGGGAGGGTGGAGGGCCTGGCCCCCTTTCACAGACCTGGCCCTCAGTGGGACCCAGGCTTGGAAGCTGCTCTGGGATTCTCTGCCTTCTTTCGACTCCCCTGTCCCCCACAACATTCTAGCTAGGGTCCATGTCTCGCTGCCCCGCCCATCTCTCTGCCATCTCTCTCTCTCTCTCTCTTTTTTTTTTTTTTTTTGTTTTCTTTTTTTTGTTTTTTTTTTTTTTTTAGGCAGGATCTTGCTCTATCTTCCAGGCTGGAGTGCAGTGGTGCAGTCAAAGCTCACTGCAGACTCAACCTCCCGGGCTCAAGTGATTCTCCTGCCTCACCCTCCTGAGTAGCTGGGATTACAGGTGTGCACCACCACACCTGGCTAATTTTTATATTTTTAGTAGAGACAGGGTTTCACCATGTTGGCCAGGCTGGTCTTGAACTCCTGGGCTCAAGCGATCCACCGGCCTTGGCCTCCCAAAGTGCTGGGATTACAGGTGTGAGCCACCGTGCCAGGCCCATATCTCTCTGTCTGTCTCTATGTCTGCCTCTGTCTCTCTGCCTCTATCTCTGTATCTCCGTCTCAGTCCCCATCCTCTCCCTCTTGGTTTTCTGCCTTCCCCCTCAGCCCTTGCTGTCATGTGGTTGAGTTGAGAATGTCAATAGTCACTGTTTCATGTCTTCCAAAACATGCCTCTTGGCCGGGCGCGGTGGCTCACGCCTGTAATCCCAGCACTTTGGGAGGTCAAGGCGGGCGGATCACGAGGTCAGGAGATTAAGACCATCCTGGCTAACACGGTGAAACCCCATCTCTACTAAAAATACAAAAAATTAGCCAGGCGTGGTGGAGGGCACCTGTAGTCCCAGCTAGTTGGGAGGCTGAGGCAGGAGAATGGCATGAACCCGGGAGGCGGAGCTTGCAGTGAGCCGAGATCTTGCCACTGCACTCCAGCCTGGGGGACAGAGCGAGACTCTGTCTCAAAATAAAAAACAAAAAACAAACCAAAAAAAAAAAAAAAATGCCTCCTTTGGTAAAGAAATTGTGTAGAGGGCTGAGGTCCTGGCTTGGTCTCTCCAGGAGAGGTTTCTGGGTCCAGGCCTCGCCCAACCTCCCGCCCACTCCATGTGGCAGCCTCCTTCCCAGAGCCTTCTGTGCACTTCCGCATGGTGGCGGCAGCCGAGGCCCCCAAGTGCTGGTGCTGCTTCGCGCCAGGCCGCGGCTTCCTTCAGTGTGGAGCGGGCGCGGCCCAGCCGGCCCACCCTGTCCTCAGACCACACAGCGGCGTCCTCAGAGCCTGGGGTAAACTCCCCGGGGTGGGGCTGCGGGTCCTGGGGAGAGGTCTCCCCTTCCCGGCCCCGCTGTCTGTGCTCAGGCCTCGACCCCTCCCTCTGTTTGTCTAAGACCCTGCCCTCCCAGGGCCTGTCCCGGGCCCACCTTCTCGTCCAAGCCAGAGCGGCCTCTGTGCGGTTGTCCTGAGCCCCCTGGCTTGTGGTGCGTGCAGTTCTGGCAAGGGGGGGTGGGCTGCGGCCCCCACATGTCCAGCACTGAGTGCAGGGCACCTGCCCCGCCTTCCTTGGCCCCGGCACGGGCGTCTCTTGTCAGAGCTGCTTGGAGACGTGTCCGTCCTTTGCTTTCCCTCACCCAGGCTCCGAGCTGGGGGCTCCTGGGCTCTCTGGGACCCCTGGGGAGGCCCAACCTGGCCCGACCGCCCCCTTGCCCACCACCCCTAGAGAAACTCTAAACACAACCCCTGGGGTCCCTGCTCCAGGAGCAGCCACCCCGCCATGGCCTGGTGGGGACCACTCCCCCGCCTCTCATCATGGCCTCCTCCCGCCCACCCCCTCCTCTGGCCTCAGCTCAGGTCAGGCTCAGCGAGCCCCCTGCACGCCCCGCCTGTTCCTCTGGGTCCCTCTCGGCACTCCCTCCTCCCCAGCTGCGCTCTTCACCCGGCGGGGATGGGCGGGGGCTGCCGTCCTAGCCGAGCCTCGTGGGAGTCACGTCACTGGGCCTCTGGTTCTCGATGTGAGATGGGGACACAGCCTTTGGCTGGACCCTGCTTCTGGCCTGTAGGGGAAGAGGAGAGAGGGCTCTGGGGATGAAGGGCGGCCGACCCCAACCCTGGCCTCACTGGGCCCCTGTGTGGGTGGTGACATGGGAGTGGTACCACATCTGTCCCAGCCCAAGCCCTGAGCCGCCTGCAGGCGTCTAGCCTGCCCTCAGGGGTGTGAGCAGGCCCTTCATGTGACCGGAGCCTGCGGTCCCACAGATCACGCTGACCACCATTGGCTACGGGGACAAGTACCCGCAGACCTGGAACGGCAGGCTCCTGGCGGCAACCTTCACCCTCATCGGCGTCTCCTTCTTCGCGCTTCCTGCAGTAAGTCCAGCTGCCCTGCCTGCCTTGGAGGGGGACGAGGTCTTGTAGGCTCCCCAGGTGACCACAGGCCCCTGGGCACAGTTCCCTGGGTGGGACCTGGGGCAGGAGCGGCTCCCAGCAGGTTCACAGCCCCCAGGAGCTGGAGGTGGCAGCTCAGGGTCAGAGGCCTTGTTCCCCGAGGACTGGAGTGGGGGGTTCCCCAGCCCTAGCAGGAGCATGCCCAGGGCTGTGGCTGTAGCTTCAGGGGCTCTGTTAGTCCCTGGTGGCCCCTCTTAGTCTGAGTGGGGCCCAGCAGGATGTCCTTGTGACCAGGGGCAGGGTGGCTGGTGACACAGCTCCCTCGTGGGTCTCCAGGCAGTGAGGCCCACCCAGTTCAGAGGAAGATGGAGGGGCCCTGCCAACCTTTGTTGCCCCAGGGCAGGGCAGGGCAGCTGGTGCACCGCGAGAGGCTGGCCGTGGTGGTTCCTTCACTTGTGCCCTTCAAGATGGGTGTGCAGACTCTCCCGGGTGGAAGGGAAGGAGAAGCCACCCTGAGTTCAGTGTGGGCCCCGCCATGTCTCCTGCAAGCCAGTGGGTTCTTTCCTCTTGGTGCTGATGGATTGTGGGGACGCGGGTCCCTGGATGCAGTCTGACCCTGATGAAGGTGGGGGAGGTATGGATCAGTGGAGACGGGTCTGACCCTGATGAAGGTGGGAGACATGGGTTCCCGGGGCGTGGTCTGACCCTGATGAATTGGGGTGTGGGGGTCCCTGGGATGTGGCCTGACCCTGACAAATTGCAGGGCATCTTGGGGTCTGGCTTTGCCCTGAAGGTTCAGGAGCAGCACCGGCAGAAGCACTTTGAGAAGAGGCGGAACCCAGCTGCAGGCTTGATCCAGGTGAGTCCCCTGGGGACCAGCGCAGCCCTCGTCCTGGTCCCACCTTGTCCAGGAGTAGAAGCCGCCAGGGTCTTGGCATCGCCTTATCTGCGGATGGGGCCACAGCCCTCACCCTCTGCGGGAATATGTGGAAGGAGCCAGGATGCGAGTGTGTGTGTTGAGAAATGGCTCCGACCCCTGAGGCTGCACAGGGTGGTTTGTGTGAAGATGCTGCTGGGGTGGCCCTTGCGTTGTGTGGGCGCTGGGGCCCAGCCATCAGGTCCTCTCCACCGCACCCTGGGAGGCGAGTGCACCCATTCGGAAGCTGCAGGGCTGAGGCTCCCAGAGCCCACATGCTGCAGTGAGTCAGTGCCTGACCCCGTCTGACCCCTGATGCTGGCTGTAGGCCCCGATGATGCCTGCCCGGACCCCACCCAGCCCCGTCCCACCATTTGGGGGTAGGTAGGGTGCAGTGACCACTCTGGCATCCACAAGTAATTCCTGAGCCACCTTGAAAATATGGACAGACAATGGCTGGGCACAGTGGCTCACGCCTGTAATCCCAACACTTTGGGAGGCTGAGGTGGTAAGATCACAAGGTCAGGAAATCAAGACCATCCTGGCCAACATGGTGAACCCCGTCTCTCCTAAAAATACAAAAATTAGCCGGGTGTGGTGGCGTGCACCTGTAGTCCCAGCTACTCAGGAGGCTGAAGCAGGAGAATCGCTTGAACCAGGGAGGCGGAGGTTGCAGTGAGCGGAGAGCACGCCACAGTACTCCAACTGGCAACAGAGTGAGACTCCATCTCAAAAAAATAAAAAATAAAAAAGAAAATATGGACAGACAGCAGGACCCCCTTGGGACCAGCCATTCTTACAGTTCCTCCCCAAAGTCTTCCATCCACTGGACCCTCAGAACTGACCAGGTCCCTGCCAGCTGGATGTGGCTATAGGCTCTCTCCTGTCTCAGACAGCAGATCTTGAGATGGAGATAAGCCTGGGTTACACCAGGTGGGCCCTAAATGCAATGACATGCATCCTTATAAGAAGGAGATTTGACACAGAGGAGGGGAAAGCAATGTGACCAGAGGCAGAGACTGGAGACATGGCCACAAGCCATGGAGTGTCGGTGGCAACAGCAGGGGATGTGCCTCTCGTGGTCTTGGAGAAATTCTGGGCCCAGCCCACCTTAAGGTGTGTATTTATCTTCCACTATAAAAACTACAAACAGCCATTTATTTTCATGCAAAAGATTATAAAGAAGAACAAAAATGCCCCCAAATCTCACTCCACTGTTGATGGTTTAAAAAGTGACCACGTACATGTGGTGAAAAGGTTAAAACAGTGCCAGAAAAGGCAGCACCTGAGCACCCAGGGTCCCGTGCGCCCTGCTCCCCTCGAAGGTCACTCTTAACAGCAGCTGGTGCACATTTCCAGAGCACCGTTGGGCCTCTCCACAGGCACACCTCAGAGGTCCTGCAGCCATGGTTCTAGACCACTGCAATAGAGATACGGCAATAAAGTGAGTCACACGAATTTCGTGGTTTCCCAGTGCATGTGGAAGTTATGTTTACAGGCTGGGCACCGTGGCTCCCACCTGTAATCCCAGCACTTTGGGAGGCCGAGGTGGGCAGATCTCTTGAGGTCAGGAGTTCGAGACCAGCCTGGCCAACATGGTGAAACCCCATCTCTACTAAAAATACAAAAAAATTAACCAGGCATGGTGGCTCATGCCTGTAATCCCAGCTACTGAGGAGGCTGAGGCAGCAGAATCACTTGAACCCGGGAGATGGAGGTTGCAGTGAGCCAAGATCGCGCCATTGCACTCCAGCCTGGGCAACAGCGTGAGACTCCGTCTCAAAAAAAAGTTACGTTTACACCATGCTGTAGCCTAAGTGTGCAGTAGCATTATGTCTAAAAACCAGTAAAACACTGCACGTACCTTCACTTACAAATACTTAGTTGCTAAAATATACTAACAATCACCTGAGCCTTCCGCGAGTTGTAATCTTTGTGCCGGCAGAGGGTCTCACCTCGATGCCGGTGGCCACTGCTGATGAGGTGGGGCTGCTGAAGGCTGGGGTGGTTGTGGCGATTTCTTAAAATAAGGCAAGAATGAGGTTTGCCGCATCGATTCACTCTTCCTTTCGCGAAAGATTTCTCTGTGGCATGCGATGCTGTTGGATAGCATTTTACCCACAGTGGAACTGCTTTCAGCCTCGCAGTCAGTCCTCCCAGACACTGCCACTGCTTTACCAACTAAGTTTATTTAACGTTCTGAACCCTTCTTGTCATTTCAACACTGTTCACAGCATCTTCACCTGGAGTAGATTCTGTCGACCAAAAAAACAACAAAACAAAAAACAGAAAAAATACCTCCAAACGTGTCCAATGTGTTTGGGAATTAGAAGAAAGGATTATAACCAGAGATGAACCACTGTGGCCGGAGGGTGGGGCGCTCTCATCCAGAGATGAACCAGTGTGGCGAGCTGCCCGTGTGCCGGAGGGGGAGGGGTAGGGAAGCTCTCCCGGGCTGAGAAGTTCACATAAGCTGCTTGGAAACAGAGTTCACTGGCTCTGGAGGTTGAAAACCAGAGTTGGCGTCCGTTCACTGGTGGAGATGCCGCTGCTGGGCCAGCGTTCCTCCTACAGCATCTCGTCTGGATTGCTGCAGTCCTGACAAGGAATTCCTTGTGGGGTGCGCCGCCATACCTGGCTAATTTTTTTTTTTTTTTAAAGGAGAGGCAGCGTTTTGCCATGTTTCCCAGGCTGGTCTTGAACGCCTGGGCTTAGACGATCCACCTGCCTCAGCCCCCAAGGTGCGGCGAGCCTTGGCGCCTGGCCAGGGTGGCTGACGTGTTAACCAATGGGAAACCAAGTGTAGGATGTGTGGAAACTGGGCCCCCTGCTGGTGGGAATGTAACAATGCGGCCACCCGGGAAAGCAGTTTGTCATTTCTCAGAAAGTTCGGAAACGTGGGGTTACCCCGTAGCCCAGCCGTTCTACAGACCTTCAACCAACACGTGCACACAAATGTCACAGCAGCACCACTCATAGGAACCAAAAAGTGGACGCAGCTGAAATGTCTATTAATGGATGAACGGAATATGATTTATCCATATGATCCTCCCATGAGGAGGAGCAGGCGCTGCCCCTTGCTACGACGAGGATGGGCCTCGGGGACATCACGCTCAGCGGAGGGAGCCGGACAGGGAAGGCCGTGCAGCTTGCGATGTCCTTGGCAGGAAACGCCCAGGGCGGGGAAGTCCGTGGAGCCCCGTACACCCTGGCGGTGGCCAGGGCCTGGGGGACCAGGGAACCAGGAGTGCCTGCTGGACGTGGGGGGTAGTAGGGGGTTTCTTTGGCGGCGACGAAGAAGTGTGGAGTTAGATAGGGGCAGTGGTCACGCAGCACTGCGTGTGCAGGTGCCACTGAAGCGCACACTTTAAAATGACTAAAATGGTGAACTTTAGGATGTGTCTATTTCAGCACCGCAAAACGAAACAAAGGCATAGAGAATGGAAATCCAGCCAGGCAAGGTTCAGTCTAACCCACAGGCTCATGCTCCGAGCCAGGCTGAGTCCCCGCCCTGGGAGGATGGAGGTTGGGGTCCCTGGCCCTACCCATACCCCCAGCGCCTCAGGTTGCCCAGGGCCCAACAGGGAGGGCAGGAAGGTTAACACCCAGGACAGGTGATAACCGCCAGGGGCCAGGCGAGAATCATGGAAAGGAAAGAACGCAGCCTCCCTGCGAACTATCTGAGGGCCCTGAGTCAAGCCCTGACCGCTCCCCTCCTTCAGGCCCCACCGTCTGACACACGGTCTTGCCTGTCTGTCCGGCAGGGGGTAAACTGAGGCTGTGGGGCTGATGCAGCACTGGGGCCCGGCCTGCTGGCCCAGAGTCCTGAGTGCCGGGCTGACAGCATGGGAGTCCCAGGTCCTCTCTGCCCCATTCCCTCCATGCCTGGCCCTCCTGGGCGCACGCCTCACCACTTGCCCCTTGACAACCGCCTCGTCTCTCCCTCCGCAGTCGGCCTGGAGATTCTACGCCACCAACCTCTCGCGCACAGACCTGCACTCCACGTGGCAGTACTACGAGCGCACGGTCACCGTGCCCATGTACAGGTACCGCCGCCGGGCACCTGCCACCACGCATCTGTTTCGTTTTTTGTTTTCCATTTGTTCTTAAACCCCACTTTTTGTTGTTCATTATTTTGATTGATTTTTTTTCTTTAAAATGTATGTATTTTTCACAAAGGAGTTCTGTGTGTGGTTTATTTCGAGGCGTTGATTCTGCCCTTTGTGTTAGAGCTGCGGCTTTCTTTTCACTTTCATTTCCTCCCCCGTTGCTTTATCGTCCTGGCCATGGGTCATGCTGTGTTGTGTGCGTTGCAAGGACGCTCCCCAGGGAGCTTGACAGCTCTCCCTGGGCTGCTCTGGACCAGCAGCTGGAGGTGCCCAGGCTTCATGAGTGGAACCAGCACTGTGACCCCGTCCCCCAGCAAGGACCTAGGGCTCCTGCGTGGGGGGCAGGAAAGTAACCCCGGCTCACAGTGAGGCTTTCGGACTAGGAGACTCAAATTATCCTGGGGGTCCCAGGTGTCCCCCAACAGGACAGAGCACACAGACAACCTTGGAGCCCCTCGGGCAGCAGAGAAGGGGGCCTAAAAAGTGCCAGTCGAGGCAGTGCCAGCAGGTCCTGTGAGCCTGTGTGGTCGGAGGGCAGCTTTCCCGTGTTGTTTTTGTTTTACAAAAGGGCAGGTGGCAGCCAGTTGGGATTTTCGGTGCCTAGCTCTTGCTTAAATTAAGGTCTGAGATGAGGGGTTCCGAGGGCCTTTCTCCTGGTCCACGTGGGCCTGACCCCTCCAGTCCGTCTATGTAGGCACCACCCTGCCCGCCCGCCCGCCTGCCCTCTGCTCTGACGTGGGGAACTGAGCCCGGGGACTTCCCAGCTCAGGCACCCTCCTCACCTGCTCCTAGGGGGTTTCTGTTCCCTGGGGCCTTCCCTGTGGGTGGAGCCTTCCCTGTGGGTGGAGCCTTCCCAGAGGGTGGGGCCTTCCCAGAGGGTGGGGCCTTCCCTGTGTGTGGCGCCTTCCCTGAGGGTGGAGCCTTCCGTGAAGGTGGAGACTTCCCTGTGGGTGGAGCCTTCCCTGTGGGTGGAGCCTTCCCTGTGAGTGGAGCCTTCCCAGATGGTGGAGCCTTCCCTGAGGGTGGGGCCTTCCCTGAGGGTGGAGCCTTCCTTCCTTGGGGGTGGGGCCTTCACAGGGTGGAGCCTTCCTTCCCTGAGGGTGGGGCCTTCCCTGAGGGTGGGGCCTTCCCTGTGGGTGGGGCCTTCCTTCCCTGAGGGTGGGGCCTTCCCTGTGGGTGGGGCCTTCCTTCCCTGAGGGTGGGGCCTTCCTTCCCTGAGGGTGGGGCCTTCCCTGTGGGTGGGGCCTTCCCTGTGGGTGGGGTCTTCCTTCCCTGAGGGTGGCGCTTTCCCTGTGGGTGGAGCCTTCCCTGTGGGTGGAGCCTTCCCTGTGGGTAGGGCCTTCCCTGAGGGTGGAGCCCTCCCTGTGTGTGGAGCCTTTCCTGAGCCTGGAGCCTTCCCTGTGGGTGGGGCCTTCCCTGTGGGTGGGGCCTTCCTTCCCTGAGGGTGGGGCCTTCCCTGTGGGTGGGGCCTTCCCAGAGGGTGGAGCCTTCCTTCCATGAGGGTGGAGACTTCCCTGTGGGTGGAGCCTTCCCTGTGGGTGGAGCCTTCCCTGTGGGTAGGGCCTTCCCTGAGGGTGGGGCCTTCCCTGTGGGTGGAGCCTTCCCTGAGAGCAGAGCCTTCCCTGAGGGTGGGGCGGGTGCACAGCATGGATGGGACTTCTAGGCTGGGGTGGGGCCCAGGATTCTTCTTGAGGATCCTGAGTTGGCAAGGGTGGACAGACCTGTGGCCATCCTCAGCTGCTACCTGCCTTTTCAGGGTGTCACTTGGGAGGAGGGTGCCAGAGCCCTTGGTGATCCTTGATGTTTGCAGTTGCCCTCCGGGGTCTGCCCCGACCCCTCCCTCAGCACCATCCCCCCTGCACCTCCTGGAAGCCCGACCTTAGGAGCCTGGCCCTGCCCGTCTTTCCTGGGAATGTTGGCCATGCCCCTGTTTCTACAAAGCGGCCTCTCTCAGCCCAGGGCGGGGACAGAAGCAGCCCTTGTGCTAATTTTCTTTGTTCTATTGTTTCCCCTACTTTCCTCGACTATTTGTTTCATTTTCTTTTTCTTATCCCGTTCTTTTTGAAATTTTCCGTTCTTTTCCCTTTGTGTGTGTGGAAACACTTGAAAGTTCGCAAACTCAAACCTACGGGGCCTCCAGGTAGGAAATGCATGGACAGAAGCCCTGTGTGTGTGTGTGGTTCTCATTCTGTGTCTGGAACTGTGACCAGGCAAGCCCCCGGAGCCCCACAGCCCACCCAGTCTGTAGAGTGACCACTGTCCCCGCCCACCGAGCATCCCTGCACCCCTGCCCTGCGTGGCCCCATGCTGGGCGGCCCGATCACCCTGGGCCCTCCCCTGCCTGGAGCCCACAAGCCAACCCTGCCCTCCCTGGAGCCCATGTGTCAACCCTGCCCTCCCCAGGCCCATCCACCCTTCTCACCATGTCCCTGCCCCCAGCCGCTGCTTCCTGTTGCCGGCCCGCCTGTGTCCCCTGTGGTCTTGTCCTGTCCTGCTTCCGGCCTGGCTCCCCTCGTGCCTCCATCCCCACCCCACGGGCCCCATCTGTGAGCAGAGCAGGAATGGTGGATGGGGGGCTTCCCCCACCCTGGCACTGGGCACCCGTCTGGGGCCAAAGGTGCTCCCAGGCCAGGACCCCCAGGTCGGCCATGGTCCTTGTCCCACCGTGGCTCACGGGGTGGCCTCTGCGGGCAGCTCACCTCAGGGGTCTGCTTCAGGGTCTTCTGCCCTGGACTCAAGTTTCTCCTGAGTCTTGCCCTGGTGTCACAGGGGAACCCCAAGGCTCTGGGCCGTCCCATCCCTGTGCGTTCCCCACTGCTGAGAGCGGGAAACAGGGCTGTTTGTTCAGACTGGAGGGCACTGAGCCGCTATGGGAAGCCTCACCCCCATACAGCACGAAGGGCCTCTCCCTGTTGGGTGGGCAAGCTTGTGCTCTGTGACGGCACCGCCCTGCAGAGCCTGGGGCCAGCCGCTCCCCACATAAACTGGGAGGGCTTCCTGCACAGAAGCCCTTGATGACTCCTCCAGGGGCCAGTCACCCATCCTGGAGGAGAGACCTGGCCACCCTTCCTGGGAACTGTTAGAATGTTGACCCTCCATTCCCAGAAGGGAAGTGGGTGCGATGCTGGGCAGTGATGGGTCTCTGGCACCTCTGCCCCCGACATGCTCAGCCATAAGACATCTCCAATGTCTGCAGAGGCCCTGCCGCCCCTGGGGCCAGGTGGCTGGCGCTGAAGCCGGCTGCCCCCTCCCCAGCCTCTGCTCTCTCCCAGGGCCGCCCCCTCCCCTTGTTGCGCCCTCGTCCCACAGCCCCGTCCTGCCCTGGCCATGCTGCCCACCTGTCTGCCCTGGCGCTGCTGCTTTGTGTGTTCGAGGCATGGCCTCCTGTGTGGCTCTGAGGGCTGCCGTGTGTGTCTCTCATCTGGGCCTGTGTGCGTGTGGGTCCCGCCAAGGAGAGGTGGGGAGCCACCTGTGGCCCCCGGACAGATTCCAGCCAGCCTGGGCTCTGCTGCGCCCACAACACCAGCTCACCAGTCGCCTGGGTTCCTGCTCTGACCTGGACAGCGGACTGCCCTCTGGAGGGAGGGGGCTCACAGGAGCCCCACTCCTACCAGCATTTTGGGGGGCACCTCTGGGGCTGCAGAGGGAACAAAGAGGCCGTGGACGGGATGGCGGGGCCTAGGAGCAGAGGCTGAGGAGGCGGAGGGTTGGGTCAGGGAGCCGGGTGGGGCAGAGGCTCCCGAGGAGGGGGCATCTCTTTCTGAAGCTAGCTGGAATACTCTGAGGGCACAGGCGGTGAGGAGCAGGCGGAGTGAGGTGGGGGGGAGTGGTGGGTGGGGTGAAGAGGGGGACGTCCTACCCAGACATGGGGAGGCGCCTGCACGCCCACCTGGGGGGCTTCAGGGGACCCGGACCTGGTCCTGCTGGTGGCTGTGGGTGGCAGGGCAGGAAGATGGGGGTGGGTATGACCAGGACTGGGAAGGGGGCTCGGAGCAGAGCTGGGCATCTGGGCCTGATGAGCCTGGGCTCATCCTATAGACTCCAGAATAAGGTTCCCTTTGCCAAGCAAAATCCTTTTCTGTGTCCCCACCTCCCAACTCCTCCAGCTTTGGCAGAGAAAGTGGCTGTGTAGAGAGAGGCCGGGGCCCTAAATATATTCGGGTGCTGTCCTTCTGGGATGTTCAGGGATTAGAAGGGGGGCAGGGAGTAGGGCCTCCCCCGACCTGCGCGCCCTCCTCCACCTGCTCCAGGCTGCAGGGTTGGAGCTGCATGGGTGGCCTGTTCCCTCCTCCCTCCTCTGCTGTCCCTGCTGGTTGACAAGGCCCCAGGCACAGCCAGAGAACGAAGGTGGCTCCTGGGACTGCCCAGGAGAGGTGGGCCTGAGCCCAGGACCCAGTGGGCAGCTGCCTGAAAGCCCAACCACATCACACGCTGCCGGGTGTCTGGCACCGCAGGCGTCGGCCGGTGGAGCTGTGCAAGCTGAGGGAGGTGTCCCAGGACTCGGGCGGGTGAGACGCTCACTCCCCTCTCCTCCTCTCCCCCAGACTCATCCCCCCGTTGAATCAGCTGGAGCTGCTGAGGAACCTCAAGAGTAAATCTGGACTTGCTTTCAGGTCAGCCAGGGAGCTCCCGGTGGGGTGGGTGGGCGTTTCAGTCCTCTGGGGGCCCCGGCTGCCCACAGAAGACTCGCCCCGGACAGTGCCCCGGGGACTCCAGGGAGCTGGGATGCACAGGGACGCTGGACTTGGTGATGGTGGTGCTTTCTCTTTCCGTGTCTGCTGACCTGGTCTGGACTCCCATCCCCAGGCGGGCAGCTGGTCTGGGGGACGGGCAGAGAGGGAGGGGCAAAGGTTGACGTGGGACCCAGGTGTGTGGGTCGTATGACACGAAGTGTCCCGGCCCTGCGGACCCCCGGCCCTGCATCCTCCCGAGTGCCTGGTGGTGACTCAGGCACCGGCGGCACCTGCTGCCTCTCCTTCCGGCCCAAAGCCCACGGCTGTCAGAGTGCCGGGCGCCGAGGTAGGTTGCAGAAGGGCCTGCTGAGCGGGAGACGTGGACCACGCATTCACCTGCCAGGCCTGCCCAGGCCCAGGGCCGTGCCCAAGCAGTTCCGTGTTGGAAAGCCCTTGGTGGGGCAGGAGCTTCTGGTGGGTTGGATGCTGGTCTCTGCCTCCTGGAGACACCTTTCTGTCCTGGAACCTGTCAGGACAATCTCAGATCATCCTGGATTTTCCGGGCGGGCCCAGTCCAGCGATGAGTGTTCGTACAAGGAGAGGGAGATGGGGCAACACATGGAGGAGACAGCCAACTAGGATGGAGAGGGACTGAAGCGATGTGGCCACCAGCCGAGGGCTGCCTGGAGCCACAGAAGCTGGAAGAGGCAGAAAGGAGCGTTCCCTGGAGCTGCTGGAGGGAGCAGGCCCCACCCGCCTGCCCGCCTGCCGCTTGGTTTTGGACTCTGGCCTCTGGGACGGTGAAAGAACAAAAGTCTGTTGTACACTCCAGCGGCACTTAGTTACAGGAGCTGTAGCACGTGAATCCAGACTTTAATCCCGGGAACCACGTGCTGCTGTGCTAAACACCTACAAGTGTGGGCGCGACTTCAGAACTGGGTGATGCGGGGGCTTGTTTCCTGGAATCACAGGTCCACGCGTGGAGGACTTCAGCCCCAGCATGCTTCACACCCAGAGTCACACACACCTGATTTAAATGATTCTGATGACTTTATTATTTTATTTATTATTTTTGTTTGAGATGGAGTCTCACTCTGTCACCCAGGCTGGAGTGCGGTGGTGCGATCTCGGCTCACTGCAACCTCTGCCTCCCAGGTTCAAGCGATTCTCCTGCCTCAGCCTCCTGAGTAGCTGGGATTACAGATACCTGCTACCACGCCCGGCTAATTTTTGTTATTTTTGGTAGAGATGGGGTTTCACCATGTTGGTTGGCCAGGCCGGTCTCAAGTTCCTGACCTCAAGGGCTCTGCCTGTCTCGGCCTCCCAAAGTGCTGGGATTAAAGGCGGGAGCCACTGTGCCCGGCCTCTGATGACTTTAGATGATGAAATTTGGGACTTTTTGAACTGATGGGATTTGGATGAGATTTTGGACATATTTTGAGGTGCATGCTGGAAGAAACTGAGGTGTCCTGAAGAGATGGTGGGGCGCAGGAGGAAGTGGGGATGCAGCTATTGGAAGCTGGAGGGAAGGCTGTCCTTGTGTTGTTGGTGGCAGAGAATCCGCCAGGCTGTGCACTGCTGTCGGGCAGAGGCAGAATTTTTAAGTGATGAACTGGGATATTGAGCCAAGAAGATTTCCAAGCAAAGTGTGGAAGGTGCAGCCTAATTTATTTCTGCTGCTCATAGTAAAGTGAGAGAGGAAAGAGGGAGATTTGGAACGGCACCTGGCCGATCCGCCAAAAGACTATAAAAAAGAAAAAAAAAGAAGAAGAAGAAGAAAGCATTCAGGGCAGAACTGCTGTAAGAAACCAGAACGTGAAGGTTTGGGAGGTGCTCAGCCTGTCCAGCTTGCAAAGGGTCTTAAATTAGGAGATTCACTGTTGGCAAAGCCTGCTTTGGCGAGAAGCCCACAGGTGTGACCAGACAGCCTCATAAGGTGCCAGGTGTGCGGCCGCAGCCTCCAGCGTCTCCACAGAGGCGTGAAGATGGAGCTATCCGGGAAGGATGTGCAGGGCGGCCTCTTGTCTAACGGCATCGTGCCCTGTGACATATTCAGGAGGCCCTGGAGGTTTTGGGGAGTTTCATACCAGCATAAACTAGATGGGCAGAGACAGCGTCAGACGAAGGTAAGAAGGCATCGAACTTCCGGGAGTCTGCAGGCAGGAAACAGGCCGGTGGCGTCCTCAGCTGTGAACACAAGCTGCCCTTCAGGAAACGGAGAGCGACGCCGAGGCTCCCGCAGAGGCCGGCGGGGCCGAGAGCCCCCAAGGAGCGTCCCCAGAGCTGTGCCACGTGGAGTTTGCCCACTGTGGTGGCCGGCGGCCCCTCTGTCATTCTCCCTTTCTGAGTGGGAAGGGCGGTCCTGCCGTTGATGTGGTTTTTTTTTTTTTTGAGACAGAGTCTCGCTGTATCGCCCAGGCTGGAGTGCAGTGGCCGGATCTCAGCTCACTGCAAGCTCTGCCTCCCAGGCTCACGCCATTCTCCTGCCTCAGCCTCCCAAGTAGCTGGGACTACAGGCGCCGCCACCTCGCCCGGCTAGTTTTTTGTAGTTTTTAGTAGAGATGGGGTTTCACCGTGTTAGCCAGGATGGTCTCAATCTCCCCACCTCGTGATCCGCCCGTCTCGGCCTCCCAAAGTGCTGGGATTACAGGCGTGAGCCACCGCGCCCGGCCTCTGCCGTTGATGTTTTAAGCAGATGACTTGTTTTGTAGATTCACAGGTGCGTGCACGGAGGACTTTAGCCCCAGGTTGGTGCACACACACAGTCTCACACACACCTGATTTAAGTGATTGCCATGACTTTAGATGATGGGATTTGGGACTTTTTGAATGGATGGGATTTCTTTTTCTGTTTTTTTTTTTCCTCCGAGACGGAGTCTCCCTGTGTCACTCAGGTTGGAGTGCAATGGCACGATCACGGCTCACTGCAACTTCTGCCTCCTGGGTTCAAGTGATTCTCCTCCCTCAACCTCCCGAGTCCCTGGGATTACAGACGCCCGCCACCACACCCAGCTAAGTTTTGTATTTTTAGTAGAGACGGGGTTTCACCATATTGGTCAGGCTGGTCTTGAACTCCTGACCTCAGGTGATCTGCCTGTCTCAGCCTCCCAAATTGCTGGGATTGCAGGCGTGAGCCACCGCGCCCGGCCAACAAATGGGAGTTCGATGAGGTTTTGGACACAGAGTCCGTGCCGCAGAGGGTGGAGACTGTGGGGGATCTTGGGAGGAGTGAGTGTATTCTGGACATAAGACGGCCGTGAATTTTGGGGGGTTGGGGGAATGCAGTGGGTTGAATGCTGGTCTCCAAAATGTCCCAGAATGTGCAAATGTGACCTTATTTGGGAAGAGCGTCCTTGCAGCTATAACTGAGTTTGGGATCTTGAGATGAGATCACCCTGGATCATCCCAATGGGCCCTATCCCGGTGACAGCTGTCCTTACAGAGGTAGAGGAGGGGAAGACACAGAGACATGGAGAGTGCCATGGAGAGACAGAGGCAGAGACGGAGTGGTGCAGCCACAAGCCAAGGACACCTGGGCCACCGGGAGCTGCAGGAGGCGATGAGGGACCCTCCCCGAGAGCACGGCAACACGGTCCCTGCCACGTGAAGTATTTGGAAGTGCACCAAAGAACCTGCTTGTAACACGGCGTACCAGCCGGGGCACCAGCCCAGGTGTTCGGACGAGATCGCTGGGGCCTCCCCATGGATGAGCCGAATCACAATCCACCGATCTCTACTCAATCTGCAATGCCTTTACCGGCAGAAACAGCCCCAAGTGAGACGCCGGAAGGCCCAGACAGCTTTGCCTGCAGGGCGAGGCCGGGACAGTTGGTTGGTGGCACAAACCCTGGGCTCACTAACTGTGGTGCAATGAAGCCACCCCTGGAGAGTCGTGCGGAAGAGAATCATTCCATTGGGATAAGCGTGGGAAAAAGAGTCGGAGCAGCTCAGTCTGTCTCGAAAATTGATTGTAAACTAAACTCCCTTGCGGAGCTTTCTTCAGCAAACATGTCCTTTTCGGAACTTTATTACTATTGGTGTGGTTCTGCTTAAAATGAGTGTCCGTGAATGTGGGGGGGTAGTGACCCCCAGGTCAGAAGAGCAGAAGCCCCCGGCGGAGTCCCTCTTTCCTCTCAGAGCTGCTGCCATGGGCCCTGGGGTGCCCGTTCCTGGGGCCGTGGGCTCTCTGGGGTGGGTGAGCTAGCTCCACCCCTGCCCAGCCTTCTCTGAGACCCCCCTCCCCTGCAGCCCCTGGCCCATGGGACTGTGGGGGGCTGGGCTGGTTAGGGGACCCTCAAGGGTGCTGAGCGGGCGGCCACTAACTCTCTATTGCTTCTGTTTGAAGGAAGGAGCCCCCGCCGGAGCCGTCTCCAAGGTCAGTGCCCCTCGCCGCTGCCCTGGTGTTTGCCGTGTACACAACCGTCTGTTCTCTCTCCCACACGTTGGCACAACCTGTTGTGGAGACATGAGGGCCTTGTGTGTGCTTCCGTGTGTGACCGTGTGACTGTGTCCAGACCCCTGCCTGGCGGTGTTGTGGGCCCTTAAATCACTTTTCCTGCTCACCCCTCCCCAGTGATTCGGTTTTACTTTGCAGCACTGTGGATCCGGGCAGCTGGGTGGCTTCTCGGGGGGATCCCCCACCCCGCCCACAAGTCTGGCCCCAGGGCTCTCGGAGGCAGGGGTTTCTGTTAGCGCACTCCCTCCAGCTGCAGGCACACAGCCTGAGCTCACAGCTGGCCTGAGTCGGGCCGGCCGGGGTGGAAGCTCCGAGTGGGCCTCTGGCCTTCCCTCCCGCTGTTCTGGGTCGGGAGTATCTGGAGCACATGGCACAGACCAGGGGCCCCCTGTCCTCCGGGGAGGGTGGGACATCCTCTCTGCCTCGCGCCCCTGGGTGGAGATTCTGGCCAGCCTCCTCTCCCTGTTTGCCGAGGTCAAGGTGGGCCAAGGGTGCAGGTGCTCAGCCTGGTTCCCTCTCCCAGGCCCCTGAGGTTCTGCGGGTCAGGCAGATTGGAGACAGGACTCGTGTAAGGGGTGAAGGATGGAGACAGAGAAAATCAAGATCATTTCACAAGTTAATTCTATGTCTGCTGAGCCCCAGCCCCCCATGCGTCACCCTGAGGAGGACCCAGGCTTCTCTCGGCCCCATCCACATGTTGCAGAGTAAATCTGGCCCCTCGGACCTGGAGTCTGAGATGGATGCCTGGCTGCTTCGCGCCCGTGCCCTCCTGGACAGGGTGACAGCTGGCGAGACACTGGGGGGCTTGGGTGTGGGGAGATGGAGTGGGGCTGAGTTCCGTTTTTCCAGCCACCCCACATCCCACAGAAGGGGGGTCACGGTCAGTGCCTTGAGCTGGAAAGACGGGCAATGCTTCCGGCCCAAACCAACCAAGAGAACCACTAGGGGCCCGTTCGTCCTCTCAGAGGCTAAGAAAACGGACGAGGGCCCAGGAAGAGTTGGACGGGCAGCACGGCCTCTGCTGGTGCCCCCCCCACTGCTGCCACTGCCGGGGCCGCGTCGTTCTCCTGTCACTGCCTCCCCCGCCCCTGCTGTTGGCCCTGAGGCTGGGAGTGGTTGTGGGGATGGACACTGTGCCCCCCACAATGGGCTCCCTCGCCTGTGATTTGGGCGGAACCTCGGTGCTGTCCCAGGTGGACGAGAGGTTTCCGCGCAGCCGGGCCCCATGCCCTTGCTGAGAGCGACGCCGGAAATGCCCCGTGCCTCAGGGCCCTCGTGCTCGACACCCCCCGCCCGGCCGCTCCACGTTCTCGTCTCAGCCTCTCTCTTTCTCTCTCTCCCTCCCGCCCTCCACCCCACCCATCTGGACACCCGCTGCCCCCAAGCGCTTTAATCCCTGTTACTGCCCTTCTTGGGCCCCTCTCTCGTCTGCCCTCTTTGGGGATGAGGTGCTGGCCCTGAAAGCGAACTCCAGGTGAGGACACGCGGGAGCCTCCGGGCTCTCCGGTAAGCTCTGTGGCTCCCCACCCCTCCCCCGTCTCTTCCCCATGTGTCCGGGGGTCCTTGCCTGCCTGTGCCTCCCATGCCCTCCCCCATGGGCGAGCGCCCACCCGCCCCGGCCCTCCTCCTGGGACGCCTGTGGTGAGGGACATGGGGCTGCTGGGTCTGGGGCTTCCGGAAGGTGCCTGGGGTGCAGTGGGAGGGAGGAGCGGTCTCTGCCCTTGAAGGCCCTCCCTGCCCGTCCTGGGGTGCTCACCTGCCAGGTAATGGGGTGGCGTCTCTGTTCCCTGGCCTGGGGCCGCCGCAGCCTGTCCAGTGCAGGGCTGTGCTTAGGAAGTTGTTCCGCAATCATTACCTGCCACGTCCCTGGGCTGCTGGGTGAGGGGCCTGCTCTGTGAAGCCTGAGGGAGAGCTCGGCTCCTGGTGCCCCTCTGCTGCCCGACCTGGGCTCTGTGAGTCCGGTGGGACCCGTGCCTCTGCCTGCCCTTTGGAGGTGGAGCCCGCACCCCACATGGCAGGACCCTGCTGGTGTCAGCTGGTCTTGGCAGGTGGATGGTGTGGACACAGGGACCCTCACTCACTGCTGAGACCCTCACCCCCATCCTAGCTCGGAACACAGGCACGTGGTGGCAAGCGACCCGGCTGGCGGGGGCTCGGTTCCCGTAGGGACCACTGGGGCTGTGCTGGAGTCAGAGAAGGCGTCTGCGTTGGGGTCGGGTGGGGAGCCAGGCAGGCTGGGGCTTGGGCTGCCCAGGGCAGGGGTCCCAGGGGGGTCTCTGTGGCCAGGTGGGGGGCTCAGGTTGTGCTGCCCCAGGGGGGTCCTGGGGGATCTCTGTGGCCACGGCGGCTCTGACTTGTGCTGTCTTGTCGCATCCTGCATCTCACTGCCTCCTGCCCCCGTGCTTGGAGGAGCCCCCAACAGCAGCTGCCCCCTTGTGCCTGTGTGGGCTCCCTCATGCCTGTGTGGGCCCCCTCGTGCCTGTGTGGGCCCCCTCGTGCCTGTGTGGGCCCCCTCGTGCCTGTGTGGGCCCCCTCGTGCCTGTGTGGGCTCCCTCGTGCCTGTGTGGGCTCCCTCGTGCCTGTGGGCTCCTCCTCCTCTTCTCAAGCACAAGTGTCCGCGTGTTTTTGGTGCCTGTCTGTCCTGTCGGGTCTTGGTCAGCATCTGTGGGTCTCGGGCTCGCCTGCCTGTCCGGCCTCGGGTCACGGCGCCTTCTCACACAGTGCGGAGCTCCCTGTGGCTGATGGGGCAGGAAGGAAGCCCAGTGCCAGCTGCAGACCCCAGGGTGAGGTGCAGCTGCACAGGCCCCCCACAAAACTTTGGGGGTCTTGAGGGGCTGTGGCTGCAGCGCCTCCCCACCAGCTCTCCCTGGCTCTCAGACCACGTTGCCCCATACAGGAGCTGCCAGCCACGGGTGGCTGTTAAAATAACGTGCATTAAAATGGGCACGATTAGAGATTCACTCTCGAGTCTCAGGTGCCTGGTGGCGACAGCCAGGGCTTCAGTGTGGCGACAGGACGATTCCATCGCAGAATTGGGCGGCAGGGGCAGCCCGGGAGGGGCCTCTTGGTCAAGGCGATCGTGATGGGGTCAAAACAGGAGACCTTGGGAGGTTTGGGGAAGCGGGACTCTGCCTCCTTCATGCTCCTTCCCCGGGGTGGTGAAGGTCTCCTGGGGCCCTCCAGGCAGGGGCTCTGTGCTTGGGCCTGGGCACCCTGGTGGTGCTGGTGGGAGTCTAAGGTCTTTGCCTGCCAGGAAGGCTTGGGTGTCATCGTGGCTGCGGTGGCCACAGTGGAGAGACTCTGTGAGCAGTCAGAACCTCGGGCCCCGTCCCGCCCTCGCGTTCGTGGTTAACCAGCAAACAGAGTCCGGCCTTTTGCTATATCCTTTAGTGCCTGGGGACCCCAAAGCTGCTTGTGACCTAAAAAGCGGGACCGGCACGGGGGCTGGGGTGGAAGTTGGTCACCCGTCCTTGGGGTCTTGCAGGCCGGTGGGGCTCGTGGAAGGGTCCAGAGCCCTCAGCTACCCGGGTGGCCGAGTGCTGCCATGACTGGAGCTAGCCGTGTCCGTGACGCCGCGTGGAGAGCTGCCAGCGGGTTTATGCAGGGACGTTGGTGTCTAAACACGTGTGTGCAAGAAGGCAGGAGGCGGGACACTTTCCTCCCAGAGCCTGTGTGTTCTGAGTGGAAGCTGTCGTCACGCTGGGGTTCCTGGGGCGCCTAGTTTGAGAAGTGCTGTCTCAGGAAGCAGCGGCAAAGCGGGTGGGGGTGGCTGGGGCGGGGAAAAGGAGGGGTTCTTGTCGTTCTTGGTGATTTGCTTTCATTTTCTGCTTAATCATTTGCATACTGTGATGCAGAGATAAATCGCCAGGGCTTTTGGGGAGATTCTTGGGAAAGCATGCCAAGTTTTCTGAGCCTTTTCTAAGGAACGCCCAGCGGGGGCTGCCCCAGTGAAGGGCTTTGCACTGAGGGGATCCACCGAGCCCCGACGTGACTATCCTCAGGGGAGCCCTTGAACCCCCGGGTAGCCACGCCTGCAGCGGCAGCCACACCTCCTGGGTAACCCGAGACCCACCTCCAGCTGGGGGCCTGGCTGGCGTGGCCAAACGTCGCTGATTGGTTTGCGAAGCGGGACAGCTGCACGTTTTTCTCCCTAAAATGTGCTTCCGGCCCGGCGCGGTGGCTCAAGCCTGTAATCCCAGCACTTTGGGAGGCTGAGATGGGCGGATCACGAGGTCAGGAGATCGAGACCATCCTGGCTAACACGGTGAAACCCCGTCTCTATTAAAAAATACAAAAAACTAGCCGGGCGAGGTGGCAGGTGCCTGTAGTCCCAGCTACTCGGGAGGCTGAGGCAGGAGAATGGCGTGAACCCGGGAGGCGGAGCTCGCAGTGAGCTGAGATCTGGCCACTGCACTCCAGCCTGGGTGACAGAGCGAGACTCTGTCTCAAAAAAAAAAAAAAAAAAAAAAAATGTGCTTCCCACCCACACCCTTTCCTGGGATCACGTCCATCCTGAGCGGGGCTTCTGCGGCATCTGAGGCCACATGTATTATTGTTTTGTTGGCATGAATACTGCAAAAAATAATACATCTTTTAAGACATGAACCCAAACTGTGGCTTTGGAAGGAAAAGGTATTTTTGGAGGAAAAAAAAAAACCACAAAGACCAGGGATTTTTTTTTCCTTCAGAAGTAGGGAAGTGTTTTCTTCTCCAGACGGTGGAGACAATGGTGCACCTTCCTCGCTGACCTTGCTTGGGCGCAAGCTCTGCTGCTGGGGACTGCACACAACACCCTGGGTGGTGGCGGTGCCTCAGTTTCCCTGCTCCCGGCCGTGTGCTGTTGCCGGCGCCCAGGACTAACTGTGCTCTCCTCATTTCCAGTAAAGGCAGCCCGTGCAGAGGGCCCCTGTGTGGATGCTGCCCCGGACGCTCTAGGTACCGCGGAACGCGCCGCACGGACTGACCGCTGCTGCACGGCTCCTCTGCCCCTCCCTGCTTACTAGAGGTTCTGGAGGAGCCAGGGGGAGGCTGGCGCCCCAACCCCAATTCTGACCCACCGCCCTCGCGGTGCGGGCTCAGCTCCTTCTATTCCAGCCGACAGCTGCCTGCAGGGCGGAGCTGGGCGAAGGTGGTTCTTCTTGCTCCCCACGCCTGGCGATGTCCTGCATGCAGCTGGAGGGGCCAGCCAGGGGCTCTGAACCCAGCAAGGCGTCCGTGCCTCCTGGGGTCCCCGACTGCTCTTCAGGGAGCGTTCCCCTGGGGCTGTCACTCTAGCACCTCTGCTGCACACCTGAGGACGACTGAGCCTTCCTGGCTGCCTCGCTCGCGGGAGGCAGCTCCGTCTGCGTGTGCCGGGCTCCTCAGGGTCCTGATGCATCAGAAGCCCCAGAAAGCCAGAGGCCCGCGGCTCCCTCTCCCAACAACAGGCCTGGTTTAGGGCAGGTGGAAACAGGACGGGGGAGGAGCCACCCCCTTTGCACCGTGGGCTCCTGGCCTGCACTGTGACCCGCACCTCCCCTGTCCCTGCGTCCCCTGTCTGCTGTGGGGTGTGTGCAGGCCTGCACTGGGGGCCCCTCCCTCCTGGCCAGCACAGCCCAGCAAGGTGGAGGCGGCTGTGTCGTGCTCACGTGGGGCCTCCTTGGCGCGTGCATGCCGCCCGTGGTGCTGGCCTCGGAGGGTTGGTGGGGCTGCATGCTGCCTACCTGTATCCGCGCATGCTCCAGACCCTGCTCCACGGGGGACCCGCAGCCCCCACCTCCCCCGGCCACCCTCTCCCTGCGACTTTGCTCTGCTGCTTGTGTGCTTTGGAGTCGGTGCTTGCGGGCAGACTGTTGGCAGCCCCAGAGAGGGAGACAGGCATGTGGGCTGCCCCGGGCACGGCCTGCTGGGGTTCTAGCAGGATGTCCTGCCTGTCCAGAGCTTCCGTCCAGGGTGCTTCTGGCCGCATGCTGGTCCCTCAGGGCAGGGGCTGAGGTCAGGCTGCTTGGGGACCAGAGGGTTTGGAAGTGGGGGTGGAAGCCCAGGCCAGAGACGACCTGTGGCAGGTCCTGTCCTGCTGCAAGCAGCCCCCACGGGAAGCCCCTTCATCCTCACACTCCCTGGGCATCATTGGTCCGGACACCAGCTGGGCGGGGCTCTGGATGCTCCTCAGCCTCCTGTTTCCTGCAGGCACCGCACATCTGAATTTCCCCACGGGGAGGGAGGGTGGCAGGCAGGGTGGGGGTGGCACTCTCTCCCAGGTGCTTCTTGAGCCTGCCCCAGCCCCGTAAGCGCCAAGCGTAGGTGCCACGGACGCCCCTCGCACGCAGAGGGCAGCTCTGGCCGAGGGCTCCTCCCAGGCGGGCGACGGCAGCTTTTCGCGTGTGCTTGTTCCTGGCTTGTGCGCCGAGGGAGGTTCCCGTGAGGCCATGTGCGCTCCTGGCAGCTGAGCAGGCTGGCGGGGTCGGGTGTCTGCAGCATGGAGCCTCACCGGCTGTGCTTGGAGGGTGCAGAGTTTGGGTCATGGTGGAGGTCCAGGGGAGGGAAAGACATGTCCAGGCCCCACCAGCCTCCTTTCCCTGGCAGAGCCTCCCTCACAGATCTGAGGTGGGAGCGGAGCCCGAGACCCGGGACGGCAGGGCCGTGGGGAGGCCAGGGCAGGCTCCTTCCCGCCGGCTCCGTCTTGGGGCAGTGCACGTGGGCTGCGTCCCGGTGGCCCTTGGGACTGTGCTGGCATCGGGTCCAGCAGGGCATGCCTGCCGCTTGTGGGACTGCGGCTCCTCGTGGTGTCGGGGAGGGGGAGTTCCCCACTGGAAAATGGGAAGCAGACGTCACTGGGGCCGGGTCTTCTCTCCTGGGGCCTGTGGAATCCACGCCACTCCCTTCCTGCAACTCCCTGCGGACTACGGGGCCTGACCCTTCCTGGCCGGCACGTCTGTGTGGCGGCCTGGGTGTTTGACCCGTTCGTCTCCGAAGCCACAGGAAGGAATCTGATGCCAATTCCTCAAGCTGTGCCTTTCCCACTGCAAGCCCTCAGCACTGGGCTCTGCCCAGAGACCAGCCAGGGGCAGCCCCGAAGCTGCAGTTGGGCCGACCGGCTCTGCCCTCCACCCGGTGCTTTGCCAGCTGCCATGAGAAAGGAGGTGGCTGCTTCTCTCTCTCTTTGGTGACTGGACCTGCCTGGGGTGGAGAGGTGGAGAGAGGAATTGAGTCTTCCAGTGACTCCCACTTGTCCTAAGGCCTGAGCGGGGCCAGGAGGGCCTGTTCCTACCTCTGGAATGGCTCATGTAGTGGAGGAAGACAAAACATTCCAGAAGCCAGAGTCCCACGGAATCCAGGTGCTCCCCGGAGTCCCACGGAACCCAGGTGCTCCCCGGAGTCCCACGGAACCCATGCCCAGGTGCTCCCCAGAGTCCCACGGAACCCGTGCCCCGGTGCTCCCCGGAGTCCCACGGAACCCGTGCCCAGGTGCTCCCCGGTCCCGGTCCGGTGCTCCCCGGCCACCTGTGCTTTTGTTGTTGGGACAGGGACCAGAGGCCATCGGGACAGAGGCCCCCATGGCACCAGGACTCTGAGCACCCCTGGCCCCTATGGGCACAGCGTGTTGGCCTCAGGCAGTGCAGGGCTGTGGACTCAGGGCTGGGGTCCTGAGCGAGCCTGTACCATCGGCTCCTGATGCCCCCAAGCACGCGCCACCTCGGGGGGTCTCAGCCACTCCGTCTCTGCTTCCCTGAGCGGGCATCACACCCGGGGGCTTCCGTCTCTGCTTCCCCAAGCGGGCACCACACCCGGGGGCTTCTTTCTTTCTCTCAGAGACCCGAGTGGGCACAGATGGTCTGGGCGGTCACCTGCTGCCCGGCGGATGGGGTGGGGAGGAGCAGCCAAGCCACCCGCGTGTCCAGGCCGGGCAGATGGGCGCGGTGGGTCTCGTGTCTGTGGCTGGTTATCTCTGTGCCGTCTGGTGGCGTGTCTTTCTGGCTGTGGGTCCGGGGTTGGGGCTGATGGTGGCTGCTGACCGGGACCTCAGTCCCTCGCTGTTGGCTGTGGAGCTGCCGTGGGATCAGTGAGCCCGTGAGGCACTGGGCTTCCTCTCTGAAGTGTGTCGGGGATCTGCTGGGCCTCCCCACCCGAGGGCTCGTCTCAGGCCCCTGGAACGGTACTCTGGGCCCTGCCCAGAACCGCCCTGAGAAGTTCCGTGGCTGCTAAGCATGGCTGGGCACGAGCGGGTCCCCAGTTCACGAGAGCCCCACTGTCCTCAAGGGAGCCAGAGGACTCTGATGCTTTCCAGACCTCAGGAGGCCGCATCTGCCAGGTGCATCCCAACCACAGTGACCCCTCCCCTCCCCTCACTGTCGCCCGGAGGACGCTGGAGCTGAAGAACTTGGGTGCAAACCTGTCGCCACAGTCACCAAAAAACTCAGGAGCAAGGCAGGCCCAAGGACCCCTGAGAATATGGAGCTGGAGATCCAGCCAGACACAGCTGCAAATCCTGCTTCACGCCTCGCAGGCCGAGGGGGTGGGCCACAGCACTGCAGCTTCCGAGGCTGCCTCCCCCTGCCCTGGGGCAGGACTTGGACAGTGAGGCTTGTTGCTTGAGGCCCGGCTGGCGGAGGAGCCCCGTTATCCATTCCTTCCTTCCAGAAGCCTGAAGGAGCAGTTCTCTGACGATGCACCTGGTGGGAGGGAAGCCCGACAGGGGAGGCCTGAGCCCTCCCGAAGCCCGTCCCACCAGGCAGTCCCCCGGGTTGGGTGGAAAGGCTGGAGTGTGGCGGAAGGGTCCGCCGCAGACTCGGCCCCCAACGTCCTGTTGTCCCCCGGCCCCTTGACTCTGGGGCAGAAGGAGAGGGACAGGTGGCGGGCGGGCAGGAGGGTGGCTGCTTCCTGGGAGCAGTTACGGGTGTGAAAAGGCCACAGGGGAAACCACGGGTGGGGCCAGGGCAGACAGAGGTGCCCGAAGGAGAGCCGCAGCCCTGGTGTTTGGGACGCCCATTGCCCTGCGTGTCACTGGGTGAGGGGCTGGCGGGACAGCGTGAAGAAGGCACTGGCACCTCATGGTGGTAGCGGAAAGTGATTTAAGAGTCCACAGACATCAACTCCCCCGACACAGCCGAGCTCTGGCCACGCCTGGGCCAGCCGGGGGAGCTTGCCGCCCACCCAGCCTCCCCTCCCTGCTCCTCCCACCCGGTGCTGGGTCCCCGTGGCCTCCCCCCCTCCCTCCTCCCGCCCGGTGCTCGGTCCCCGTGGCATCTGCTCTGAGCCACCTGTGTGGCTGGCTGTTCTTCAGACCTGTGTCTCCTGCAGCGCGTGGGCGGCGTTGGCCGTGAGCAGACACGGTCTGTGTTCTTTCCAGAGTGACTTCTCTCGCTGTTTTTCTGTCTGTCTGTCTGTCTGTCTGTCGGTTCCCATGGGAGCAGCCAGAAGGTCAGTTTGAAAGATCGTGTCTTCTCCAGCCCCCGAGGCGTAGCTGCCAAGGGGAAGGGGTCCCCGCAGGCCCAGACTGTGCGGCGGTCACCCAGCGCCGACCAGAGCCTCGAGGACAGCCCCAGCAAGGTGCCCAAGAGCTGGAGCTTCGGGGACCGCAGCCGGGCACGCCAGGCTTTCCGCATCAAGGGCGCCGCGTCACGGCAGAACTCCGAAGGTGGGTCTGGCCGCGCTGCCCTCTCCGGGGATGGAGGTGGTGCCCCAGCCACTGAGACACCCAGTGGCATCACAGCCTCTTGTGCTTGCTCTTGGAGTGGGAACCCCCATCCTTTCTAAAATTGAGTTACATTCATGCAACCTAAAATTAACGATTTAAAAGTGTAGGAATTCAGTGGCATTTGGCACACTCATGGTGGCGTGGTCGCCACCACCTCAGCCTAGTTCCAGAACATTCTCATCACCACGGAAGGAAACTGTGGCCCCATCAGTGGTCACCCCATTCCCTGCCTCAGCCCCAGCGCCCACCGCTCTCGGGCCGTGCGTGTCCACGGCTCCTGCACGCGGCCGTCGGGTCTGGCTTCCTTCACTGAGCCTCAGGTGTCAGGCCCGCACCCTCCGCTGTTAGCCTCTGTGTGTGGATGCACCATGTTCTGTTCATCCGTTGGCCGGGGTGTCCTTTCATGCCCCACGTCGACCACTCCCTGTGGCCACAGGCTGCCGGGGAAGGTCACCCGGATGCAGAGGGGAGGGTTTCCAGAAAAGCAGGTGCACCCATGGGGCACCCCAGGGAGCCTCAAAGGGCTCCCTGGCGCTCTGCCCAGCTGGTGTGCCCTGCAGGACCCCGGGAATGGGTCTCCTGGCCCCCTCGACCCCTCACGGCCTGTCTCCTTCCCCCCAGAAGCAAGCCTCCCTGGAGAGGACATTGTGGATGACAAGAGCTGCCCCTGCGAGTTTGTGACTGAGGACCTGACCCCGGGCCTCAAAGTCAGCATCAGAGCCGTGTGGTGAGGCCCCTGCCCAGCCGGGAGCCTGGGGGAATGAGGAGGGACCTCCCGCTCGGTGGTCCTGCCTCCTGCAGGTGCTCATGGGGCTGGACAGAGCCGCCCAGAGACAGGGTCTACCAGGAAAAGAAAGGGCCAAGACACGGCAACCTGGCTGAATGTCCTGGAGTCCACTCTGGGACTCGGGTGGGCTTCGGGTGGGACGCTGGTTCAGCAAGAGGCCTGAGGCCTGGTGCCACCTGGCTTAGGAAGCAGCTCAGCCACTTTGTGCCTGCTGTGGCACGGAGTCCAGGGGGGCATGGCCAGGCCTGCAAGCCCCACCTGTCACGGGCATAGCAGGGCCACGAACAGACCCTTGTGTGTGTGGAGCTGGTGGGAGGCAGACAAGACGGGCAAGTCCAGCCATCTTCAGGGGCCGCGGTCTCAGAGGTGCTGGGAGGGCGACAGGCAGGCAGACGCAGGGCCAGCCTGGTGCATGTGGCTGGGGTCTCTGGCCCAGGGCTCACGGCCCCACCCACCCCCTGCAGTGTCATGCGGTTCCTGGTGTCCAAGCGGAAGTTCAAGGAGAGCCTTCGGCCCTACGACGTGATGGACGTCATTGAGCAGTACTCAGCCGGCCACCTGGACATGCTGTCCCGAATTAAGAGCCTGCAGTCCAGGCAAGAGCCTCGCCTGCCTGTCCAGCAGGGGACGAGAGCGGGGTGGGCTTCTGGGATAAAGCCCACTGGGGCCCACGGTGGGAGTGCAGGGGGTGTGCGGGGGGGGCCTCCTCCCCCACCCATGTCGGCCTCTGTCAGCTTCTGTTGTGTCTTCACAAAGTCGGTTTTAATATTTCTGTTGTTTCCCCCGTCTTTCCCCCATCCACACTGCGGTGGAAAAGTGTGTGCACCTGCGTGTGTGGGTCCCTGAAAACGTGTGTGTGCATGTGTGTGTGTATAAGTCACGCATGCACACGTGTGCTTCTGCACAGGTGTATGTGTGTGGTGTGCACATGTGGCTCTGCTCTGCCATGTATGCACGTGTGTGGGGAGTGCATACATGTGTGTACACATGTGCGCATGTGTGTGCATGTGTGTTGGGGATGGAGTAATTCTGTTGAGACATGAAGCTGCAGGGTTCCCGTGGGCCCCGCCAGGCAGCAGTTATGCTATTTGGCACCTTTTCTTCTTCTACCTGCCCTTCTTGGTGTAGGTGTCCCCTAAGTCCACACGTGTGCAGCCTCAGGCACATACAAACAAGCATATACACACGAGTGGGTGTTTATGTTGCCTGTAAGGGGGACACACGGCTGTTGGGAGTCTCTCCTGCAGTAGGGGACATGCTCCTGCCTATCAGGGTCCCCTCCCTCTCCCAGGCCCCCCAACCAAGGCTGTAGCAGTTTCCCAGCCCTGGAAGCGAGGCTGGGCCCCTGTTACAGGGAGGAGGCTGGGATGGTCAGGGACAGCTCGGAGTCACAGCCCAACTCCGGGCCTTCCAGCGGAGTGAAGCTCTCCTCTGAGGCAGTCGAGACCCCACCCTGGGGCTCCTGCCCAGTCCTGTTTCAGGGGGCCAGGGAAGGGGCGCCTCCAGGCCTTAGCCCACTGCTGCTGTGCGGGGGCTGCTGAGCCATCCCCTGCGCCCCGCTGGGCTCCAGCCGTGAGGCCTCTTTTCCAGCGTCGTCTCTGGAGCAGCGGCCAGCGCTGGCCTCGTGTGCGTGTGCGTGCGCGTGCGGAACGCCCTCCTGTCGACTTTTGTGCTTTGTCTCCACATCTCTCTCACTTCAGCTGTTTTTGTTCACCAGGATCTCGTCCTAAATTTTCCCTTTCCTTCCCTTCCCTTTCTCTCTGGAAAAACAAACAAACCAAACCAAACAGCCCAAGGACCCCAGGAGTCCTCGGCCGGCTCCTGACAATGCGTTTCACGTTGCCCCGCAGCGGCCTGTCTGGTACCGGGTCCCGCTGCAGGCACCTCCCCTGCACTGCACGCTCCGGGGCGCAGCACCCGGGTCTCCGCAGTGGGGCCTCCCGCCACCGCTCCCGAGTCAAACGCTTTGCTTGAAACACGGGAAGGACTTGGCAAATCCAAGGTCCAGCGAGGTGGCGTCCGCACCCTCTGTGGGAAAGCACCTGTTTTGACGAAGCCTCACTGTTGCTTCTGTTGGGTGTTCCTTCCGTTTCCGCCAGTTCCTGGCCAGCTCCTTCTTTCATGTGGCTTTACGATGCATTTTGCTGGTGTCTCTTTTCTTGTTTACTCTGCCAGGATAGATATGATTGTGGGCCCCCCACCCCCTTCAACTCCCCGGCACAAGAAGTACCCCACCAAAGGACCCACGGCCCCTCCGAGAGAGTCACCCCAGTACTCACCTAGGTTAGGATGCCAGCACCTCTCCGACGTGTCTGTGGAATGGCCGGCCCCTTCGCTCCAGGCCACATGACGGCAGCACCTTGTACCACCCTTTCCCCGGGCCAGAGGGGACGCTCGGGTTTTCTCTGTGCCTGAAAAGGCAACATGAGGGAGAAGGCCCTTCCTCCTCCAGGGCCCCAGGCAGGCTGTGCCCATGTCAGGACTGCCAGGGGCCCCACTGCTCCTCTCGACAAGTGCCCTGGGGAAGCCGGGGGCTCTGGACGCCCTGTGAGACTTTCCTCTGGAGTTGGAGGGCCCCCGGGCAGCACCTCCAGGATCAGATGCCATCAGACCTTCAGGGATGTCCCTCTTGCCCTGCTCCCGCCCCCTGGACAGGCCCCTCCTGGCAGAGGGCCCTCCAGCCTCCCCAGGCACTGACCTGCCCCTCAGCACCTGCCCACTGCGGGGTGGGCTTGGCCGTGTGCACGGCCCCGTGTGGCTCTGAGCAGGTGGAGCTGCGTGTCTGTGGCTCTGCCCTCTCGTGGAAGATACAGATGGTCACAGCATCTACCTCTTAAGCCACTGGGAAGAAATGTGAGCAAAGGCCTGCCAGGTGCCCGGCACAGACGTGTGCTGAGCAGCTCCGGTGCTGGCTTTCAAGCCGCCAGCATCCTAATTAGTGTTTTTGATAAAGGAGCTGGCGAGAGCCCCAGCCGATGGGCAGAAGAGGCGCGGCCCACGTGAGCTGGCAGAAGCCGATTCTGTAGTGATTAATTCAGACTTTCCAAGGCCTTCCTGCCTCCCAGGGACCATTCAGATGACGGTGGTTCCCCATCTTCTGGCAAGTCTGATAGGCTGAGGGAGGGCACAGCCCCCCGGGCAGAGGCCTGGAGGCTGAGCATAGACCCCTGGCCCTCCCTGACAGCTCAGGGCAGAGGGTTTCTGGGCATAGCCGATGCCAGTGTCTGGGCAAATGAAGCCCAGGCCTAGGCTGTTGGGGCAGCGTCCGGGGCGAGTCTGACCCCTCCTCCGTCTGTGGTGGGGTTTCTGCCTGTGAGGCTGAGGTTCTGTGCACTGGACACGTCAACCCCGTGCTCCTCGCATGAGAACGGAGTTTCTGGGAGCAGGCAGGGCGTCGTCTGTTACTGCCCAACCCAAGGCAGCCCCAGACAGTGTTTGCAGGGTTCCCTGCTCTGCGGTGCCCCCCAGGCCCAAGGGTGCTGTGCCCTGGGGCTGGTCCTCCATCCTCCTGTGCCTTGCCACAGGGGACAGCAGTTGGGCGTCCATAGCTGTGAACTCGGAAGGTCCTCTGTCCTCAGGAGACGTAGGTTCACACAGAGAGGGGGCCGGGGGACAGTTGGAGCACTTGCCCCACCTCACGGGGCACTGAGCACTCAAGGATCAAGTCTCCCCCAGTCTGGGGTCCAGGGCAGGAGGGGCACAGGGTCCTCAGAGGAGCCCCCAGCAGCAGCTCCAGGCTGAGCCCGTGGCCAGGGCTCCTATTGGGACTGAGCAGGCGGGCGGCCCGTCATGTGGCAGGGGTGAAGGTGCTGAGCATCTGCCTGGACTGTGTGGACGCCCCGAACACCAGGGACCCCCATCTCCTCCATCGCCACTGGCGTCTGCTCGGAGCCAGAGGGTCCCCTCCCGCTGCCCCTTCCCCCGTCCCCTCCCGCCCTCCTGGCCCTATTGCATGAGTCCAGCATGAAGCCCCGCAGAGCATGAGGAGCTGCACTGTGGCCGACGCCAGCCTGAAACCCCCTCTGTTTCTTGCAACAGAAAGAAGAAAACACCCCCGGCCCACCCTCCCCCACCCCCATCAGAGGCAGGTAGGGCAGCCCAGTAGCAGGAAGTGAGGACTCGGCCCCGTCGGGCTGGTGTGGGGCACTCTTCATGTACCAGACCCCAGTCCAGAGGAGACTCGGGAGCTTGTGCCCTCGCCTGGGTGGGTCCTGCTCAGCCACACCCTGTCTCGAGCTGCCCTTGTCCAGCTGGACTTTTATAGACTTACTGCAGGGTCTTCGTTTCCAAGTGAGTTCCCATGTAGCTGTAGGCCTCAGCGCACACCCACAGTGGTGGCCCCCGCCAGCCCAGCAGCGGCCATGGCTCTGTGGCTACCAGACTGGTCAGAAGCCCCTGTCCCTGAGGGCAAAGGAGCCTCCCTCCCTTTTTATTGTCATGAGTGACCTATGGCCTCATTGGAGATCAGCTCAGCTGAATTCTGCATCCTGCAGACACATAGGCTCACACGCAAATGTGCACAGTCTTGCACACATGAACACATGCATACGTGTGGACACACAAACTTGTGCAATGCAAGAGGGCACACACACACAACTGAGGACACACACGTGCAGTATGCACACACCTGGGTACATACGTGCAGTATGCACACGCCTGGGTACACACGTGCACACACACGTGCAGTATGCACACGCCTGGGTACATACGTGCAGTAGCACACGCCTGGGTACACACGTGCACACCACAGTGCAGTATGCACACGCCTGGGTACATACGTGCAGTATGCACACGCCTGGGTACACACGTGCACACACACATGCAGTATGCACACGCCTGGGTACACACGTGCACACACACGTGCACACACCCTCGCAGCTTTGTCTCCCCTCCTCTGGTTTGTGCGTTGGTTCCTGTGCTGCTCTGTGCCCTCCCTCCTTGTCCTGGTGCATGGAGCTGCAGCTCTCAACGCCTTTTCTGCTTCTGTTATCCCCGCCGCAGACATTTAACTCTGTCCCCATCAGACCTGGTGGGGCCGACGGCCTCAGTGGCACATTACGTAGGAGTAAAGCTCCAGGGTGGGCATGGGTAGGGGGAGGGGCATCCTCTGGAGTGGGCTCCAGGCCCTGCAGTGGGAGACCCTCCGTGGGCTGTGGGGTCAATAGGCCTTGAGCAGGGAAGAGGGTGAGCAGGTGGGGCTGGCTGGAGGGAGCCGGGAGCCCACGGAGAGGAGCCAGGCGACTTGGTCCTGGTGGGAGCTTCCTTTACTCCTCGCTAATGTGCCAGGCCCCTCGGGGACAGAGCGGGCAGGAGCAGAACCTCGCGTGCCAGAAGACGGGCTGAGAATGGGGTGTACCCCGTCCATCTGTCCTGGCACCCGCTGCCCCCTGGTCGGCTCTGGGCTGGGCCTGCAGCCTGGCCCAGGAGGAGAGGGCAGGGGCCCTGCTGCACCCACCCGAACTCATGCTTTGCGGTCTCTGTTCCTGGTAGAGTGGACCAGATTGTGGGGCGGGGCCCAGCGATCACGGACAAGGACCGCACCAAGGGCCCGACCGAGGCGGAGCTGCCTGAGGACCCCAGCATGATGGGACGGCTCGGGAAGGTGGAGAAGCAGGTGCGAGAGGCTGGGCGGGAGGGGTGCGGGTCTGGAGGGCTGTGGTGCCTGCTGTCCTGGGGCCCTTATTGTCCGCCTGTGGCAGTGTGGGCTTCAAGGGGTGGGTGCCACGGAGGGGGGCTCCTCAAGTCTAGGGGGCACATGCCCCTGTCACCACTGACAGCTGCTCTGTGCAGACCCCTCACACCTCACCGTGAGCCCCCCGCCCCCGGCCTGGGGTGCCTTCCCTCCTGACAGTCCCCAAGAGTCTGCTGCTTCCACGTCCCCTGTAGAATGTGCCAGAAGTTGTACCTGCCTGGCCTTCCTCCTCTCTGTCCTCCTTGCCTGACACCCCAGCCACTGTCTTCTGGGGGTGCATTCTCAGAAACCACCGCAGAGGACCCCTGTTTTGGGGTCTGCGTCTGAGAACTGGGCCTGAGCAGTAAGTGAGGAACTGCCAGGTCCTGCCCTGTGGGGCTTTCCCTGAAGGGGGTTCCACAGTGGGCAGCAGGAGGGCCTGGCTCTGAACACATGCCCCAACCGTGGAGCTGGAGGCTGAGCCCCCAGGGGTCTGGGAAGGAGGAGGAGCTACTCGGGGGCCTCCTCTTCCTGCTCCTCCAGCTTCCAGGGAGCAGGGGTCCCCCCTCCCTGCACCTCTCCAGCGAGCAGCCCGGGTCCCCCCATCTCCTAGGACCAGCCTGGGTCCCCCCCACTTCCTGGGACTAGCCTGGGTCCATCCTGTTTCCTGGGACCAGCCTGGGTCCCCCCGTTTCCTGGAAGCAGCCCAGGTCCCCCCGTCTCCTGGCACGGGCCCTCGCAGCCCAGCCCAGCCCAGCAGCCCCTTTTGCAGGTCTTGTCCATGGAGAAGAAGCTGGACTTCCTGGTGAACATCTACATGCAGCGGATGGGCATCCCCCCGACAGAGACTGAGGCCTACTTTGGGGCCAAAGAGCCGGAGCCGGCACCTCCGTACCATAGCCCGGAAGACAGCCGGGAGCACGTCGACAGGCACGGCTGCATCGTCAAGATTGTGCGCTCCAGCAGCTCCACGGGCCAGAAGAACTTCTCGGCGCCCCCGGCTGCGCCCCCTGTCCAGTGTCCGCCCTCCACCTCCTGGCAGCCACAGAGCCACCCGCGCCAGGGCCACGGCACCTCCCCCGTGGGGGACCCTGGCTCCCTGGTGCGCATCCCGCCGCCGCCTGCCCACGAGCGGTCACTGTCCGCCTACGGCGGGGGCAACCGCGCCAGCACAGAGTTCCTGCGGCAGGAGGACGCCCCGGGCTGCAGGCCCCCCGAGGGGACTCTGCGGGACAGCGACACGTCCATCTCCATCCCGTCCGTGGACCACGAGGAGCTGGAGCGTTCCTTCAGCGGCTTCAGCATCTCCCAGTCCAAGGAGAACCTGGATGCTCTCAACAGCTGCTACGCGGCCGTGGCGCCTTGTGCCAAAGTCAGGCCCTACATCGCGGAGGGAGAGTCAGACACCGACTCCGACCTCTGTACCCCCTGCGGGCCCCCGCCACGCTCGGCCACCGGCGAGGGCCCCTTTGGTGACGTGGGCTGGGCCGGGCCCAGGAAGTGAGGCAGCGCTGGGCCCTCCTCAGCACGGTGCCTCCGAGGTTTTGAGGCAGGAACCCTCTGGGGCCCTTTTGTTACAGTAACTGAGTGTGGCGGGAAGGGTGGGCCCTGGAGGGGCCCATGTGGGCTGAAGGACGGGGCTCCTGGCAGTGACCTTTTACAAAAGTTATTTTCCGACAGGGGCTGGAGGGCCGGGCAGGGCCCTGTGGCTCCAGGAGCAGCGTGCAACAGTAAGGCCGCCCTGTCCACTCTGCTCAGGGCTGTGGCAGACATCGGCCTGGTGTGAGGAGGGGCGGGAGTGATGACGGGGTGTGACTGGCATGGCGACGGGCGGGGGATGGTCTCAGGGAGCCAAGCCCAGGGGAGGCACAAGGGGCAGGCCTGTTCCATGAGGACCTGTGGGCCTTGGGGCCTGGTGGGATTTCTGGGCAGCTGCGGGTGGGCGTGGCCGGCCGCTGCGCGTGGCCTCTGCCCTCACACCTGGCCTGCCCGGCGGACTTTCCCGTGCCCCACCTCAGGGGTGCCCAATTACAGAGCTGTTGATTGGCATCTTCTCCCGTACCTTCTGGGATCTGAGGGATCTTTTGGTGGGAACCAGCCCTGAGGGGGAGACCCTCACTGGCAGCTGAGGAGCAGGTGGGGCCTGGAACCAAATTGGAGCCCAGAGTGGACGTCCAACCCTCTGGTCTTGGCCTCTAGGGGGAAGGCCCGGCTCACGGTGGGACCAGGGATCCAGCTCTGAAGCGTCTTCAGAAAGGGGGTCCTTGGGGGCTCCAGCTGCCTCGCCCTGGCCTTTCCGTGGGTGCGTGAGAGCCAGCAGCACCCCAGCCTCGGAGACCTAGGGGGCAGGACCCCAAGTCTTCCCCTCTTTCCTGACTGCCCTGGTTGGGTGCTGGCACTGGGACACCTACCTGGTGAGCAGGCCTCACAGTTCTTAGCCAGGGATCCGCCTCACCTTTGTCCACCAATGCCCTGACAGACTTGGGGCAGGGCTGGGCCGTGATGCGGTGGGCCAGGAAAGCCTTCACGCCAGCACAGGGCCACCCTCCCCGCCTTTCCGGAGGAAGCCGCCCCCACCTCAGCCCAGCTGAGCGCCCTCCCTGCTCTCCTGCACCCCTGGAGCTGACGGCCCCTTCTCCACTGACCGATTCCTTAACTGGGCCTCTTGGGGTCTCGGGCCTCAGGGATGCACCATCCCACACCTGTCCTGTTGCGGGCACCGTGGCCCTTGGGGCGGGCGGTTGTGATGGGGGAGCGAGTCCCTAGCTCCAGACTTAAGCACCAGAGCCCGGGAGCATCTGGCATTGGGGTGATGGCATCGCAGGCGGGCCTGGGCTCCTGGAGAGTGGCCTCCCTGGGAAGGAGCAGGGCTGGGGTCATGGGCACAAATGCTCCCAGAGAGCAAGGACAGGGGAGCCCTGGGCCCGTTTCTCCTCCACCTTCGGGAGCCCTGGGCCCGTTTCTAGTCCACCTTCGTTTTAAGTTCACTTGGCTTGGCTGGGAGGTCCTGAGGCCCTGAGGTCAGCAGGGGAACACGTCCTGAGGGAGAGGACTTTGAAAGCAGCATGTGAGGGTCGTACGCCCCTGGCTGGTGGGGGTCCTGGCGCTCAGGGTGTTTGGGGAGCCATGTCTGGCGTCCATTGTGGGGAGCTGCTACCCTGGCCTCTGTGCCTACCCCCAGCCCAGCCAGGGCACTCCCAGGCCACATCGTCATTGGGGTGCCTCCGCTGGGCCGTCTCCTTACCCCTCCCTGTGCCGGAGCCTGTCCCAAAAAGGTGCCCATTGGGAGGCCTCAGAAGCCACTGTCCAGGCTCCCACTGCGTGTCTGCTTTGTTCCCAAAGGCAGCGTGTGTGTGGCCTCGGGCCCTGCGGTGGCAAGAAGCATCCCTTCTGGTGTGTTTCCTGGGCAGCGTCTCACGGGCGGTACCCTTCCTGTCTCCCTTGGGCTGGCTTGAGCCCGGGGACCACACCCCTTCGCCTTCCCATCATGGGACAGGGAATCCCTAGCGGGGCCCACAGGCAGGGGTGTGAGTGCATCCCGCCTAGCGCAGCACCAGCCCCAGCCACCGCTCCCCACGTCCCCAGTTCCGGCTCAGCCACCCGGACTTCAGATCCCGGAGAAGAGAGACCTGGCAGTGGAGGGAGGCTGTGCTGTGTGTCCCCTGCCAGGTGTGGCTCCGCCTGCTCTTTCCTCCCCTCAGGGCCTCTGAGGCATGAGCACCTGGGCACAGGTTGGGGTTCTGCAGGAGGCACAGGTTGGGGTTCTGCAGGAGGCACAGGTTGGGGTTCTGCAGGATGGGGAAGACAGGCCAATCCCTTCCCTACCAGAAGCTGCCCAGCAGGAGGGACTGAGGCCAGACTCATGTCCAGCAAGGAGCCTGTGGTGTGTAACCTGGGAAGTCTCTGGTCCCTGGGAAGAGGGAAGGTACACGTCCTGGGATGGTTGGGGGGCCCTGTTTTGGGAGACAAGGGGGTAGAGGGTCTCTCTTGGGCCCCCCCAGACTCCAGCCTAAGCAGTGCAGCCACCCCCTGCCCCGGGACCTCACCTCAGAGAAGTGCAGCAGGAAGGAGGCTGGAGGTGGTGCGGCGCTGCCTCGGGTGTCTGCGTGAATGAGCGTGGCCAAGGACTGGTGCCGCCTCATGGCAAAGAGCTCCCATGATGTTTGTTAGAGCGCACATCCCTACATGCCCACTGGCACACACACGTGCTCACACACGCCCGCATACAGGCATACACGTGCACGCTTGCACACATGCACACACATGTGCACACATGTGCACAGACCACACGTGTATAGACCATGCACTGTACACATATGTGCACACACATTCCTGCATACAGGTATACACATGCACTCTTACATGCACACACATGTATAGGTCACACACAGTACACACATATGCACAAGTACACAGACCACACACAGCACTGACACATGCACACACAAGTGCACAGACCACATGCACACACAAGCGCACAGACCACATGGCACACATGCACACACACACGCATGCGTGCACACGCCTCCCACCTCCAGCATTGGAGCCCGTCTGTCTCTGGTCTTTCTCTTTGACCCTGCTGGGTTTAAGCTGCCTAGGGAGGGGCTACAGGGAGTAATTGTGGCTTTAGGGGTCGTGGTGATGCCGGAATGTCAAGCCCTGTGGTGGGGTATCCGACTGTCTGGGTTCCTGGTCCACAGTGGCAGAGTGCCAGGCAGAGCCCAGTCACGGTCTTGTGCTGCCCCTGCCCACAGCCTGGCAGCCATCCAGAGGAGGGGCTCTGTCAGATGCCAAGGTGTCCCGGCGTCCGTATGTGTGTTCATCTGGGTCCTGTGTTTGGTCTGCCCTGGAGGTGCTGGGCCCTCCTGGGATGGGTGGCCCAGCCTCAAATCCCAGGCCCTGGCCCAGGCAGGCGCTGCTGCCCATTGTGGTTTCCTGGCCCAGCTTCTCCTTCTTCCTCTGCGTAAAATTGCAGTTCGTGAATCTTCCAGCTGTGACCGCGGCTGGGACATGCTGGGGGAGGACCCCTCCCGCGCCTCCCGTGCCTCCCGCGCCTCCCGCGCCACAGATGTCTGAGCAGGGCAGGTGCCCGACATCCCCCACTGGAGGACACACTGCCCCTCAGCGATGCCCCTAACTTTTGGGGAACCTTGTCTCAAGCCCCCACTTGGAGGCTGGAATCGCCCCAGGCACTGTGAGGGCTTCTCCAGGGGCACCTTCTGAGCTGTGGGTCTGATCACCCCAAGTCCCGCCCGGAGGACAGGCACAGCCGGGGCGTGCGTTTTAACATTTACCCCCTTCAGGGCTGGAGGTCTCAGTGTTTCTAGATTCCAGACCCTGCTGCCGGAGAGACCTGCTGCTAGAGAGAAGGGGAGGAAGACCTCAGCTGGGCTCGGTCCCCTACAGTCAGGGACCCCCGTAAAGGACACCCCCTTCTTTCTAGAAAGAACTGGGCCCTGAGCTATTTCTAGTCGCTTCCTAGAAGCCGAAGGAGCCGTGAGAGCTTCGCAGAAACACCCTTGTTGTCCCCACCGCCCCGAGCTGTGAGTGCCGTACGAGCGGAGGCCGGGGCACTGGCGAGATCACAGGTGGACACTGCACAGCCCCAGTGACACAAACCCTTATAGCAAACGTGGTGTGAGAGGGATGGCTCACCAGGCTTGGACCTGCCGTGGAGGGTGCCCGGCAGGGGGCTGAGCTCTGAGGGGTGGGCGCTCAGTGCACGGGTGCCCCCAGTATCCTCTGACCCTGTCCAGTGCCTCCCCCAACCCCCACACCCTTGCAAAACTCCCAGGCCACATGTATGTATGTTCAGGGCATGAGGGTGGGGTAGAGAGGCCTGGTCAGGGCCTTTGGGGGCTGCAGGATGGAATGACCACCCGGGGGAGCCTGTGTGGCTGTGCTGGGCCAGCCGTCCTGTGTTCCCACCCAGTGGGGCAGGCTCCACCTCGGCCCCAGCAAAGTGCTAAGGAGCAGGACAGACAGCCAGGGCAGCTTCCTGAAGGATGTGGGATGGTGGACTCCAGGGTGGAGGGAATACCCAGGTTCCTGTCCCTCCGGGAGACCTGGAGAAGCTGCACACCCAGAAGCTTTCCGTGAGCCCGGGAGCATGGGCGAATGGGGGTCCCAGTTTGCTGAACTTTGCTGTCTTGTAAGGGTGGGGGCTGATGGCAGATCCGGGAGGAGGTGATGTCACTGAGGAGGTTGTGGGAAACGGTGGAGGAGAGACGGGAAAGGGCCGCTTGGGAGGGAGGGGCCTCTTCAAAGTTTTAAAAGGCATTTGTGGGGTGGGATTGAGTGTGCTCTGGGCTTGGACACTTGCTGTGGTGCCCCTGGCTGGCCGAGGAGACTGGCTCTGGCCAGTGGCCCCGTCCTGAGAGGTCCTCAGCATCTGACTCTTGGCCAGGCACCAGCAAGGTGGGGCCGGTCCCCAGGGCTGCCAGGCAGGCGCATGCACATCGCCATACGCCACACTCCAACTCTGCCTGGTTTTTACAAAGTCGTTGCCTTAATGCATGTGGACAGGAACTCCCTGAGGTCACCCCGTGCCCCCTGGCTCTGCCAGGTACGGACGCCCTGGACCCTGCCTCCAGGTGGGGTGGGCGAGGGGCCCAAGGGATGGGCTCCAGAGACAAGTGCAGGGCAGGAGGGGTCTCACGGAGGAGTCTCGCACTGGGGCGCCCAGAGCGGGCAGTCCCGCTGGACGCCATCCCTCTGCCTGGGATCCACTCAGCCCTCGCGCGCCCGCCACGCCCGCGCCCCACGCCACTGCAGTCTGCCATCCTCTGGCCGTGCCGGTGGCTGCAGCTTCCCCATTTGCGCCGTTGCCTCTGGCTGTCTGCACTTTTGTTCATGCTCCAAAGAATATTTCATAATGCCTTCAGTACCGACGTACACTTCTGACCATTTTGTATGTGTCCTTGTGCCATAGTGACCAGGCCTTTTTTTTGGTGGATGTGTTACCCCGCACACTTCAATCTCAACTTTGTGCACCGTCCGTTTTCTAGGGATAGACGCCCAGGGAATGAACTCTAGTTTTCTAACAGATTAGCCGAGATATTAACTTACACGGACAGGTTGATGCCAGAGCCACAAGAATGCGCCAGTGCGGGTTTGTGGGGGACGTCAGGTGTGGGGTCCTGCGGCCAGGAGGGCGGTGGAAGGTTCTGGGGATCCCTGCTGCCACGGGGATGAGTTTGGACGCCAGGTGGACCTGTGCACTCAGTAAAACGCAGTGATTCAACCTGGACAGTGTGTGGCCTCCTCACTCCCACTGTCTCTGGGTGGCCGGTCTGAGGGCCGGGGACTTCTGGCCGATGCTGGGGCTGGGTCAGGTGCAGTGCTGTGGACCGGGTGTGCGGAGGGGTGGTCCCTCTCCTCAGGGCACGAAAGAGCTGGGGTGTTGTGGAACAGTGGGGCTGGGGCCCACAGTGGGTGAGGAGCAGGGGCAGCTGGGTCCTAGGGCCCTGGCCAGAGGAGGGGCCACTGTGGTCCCTGGGCTCTCTCTGGGGGTGCCGAGCTCTCCCTCCCGTCTGAGGCCTGCAGCCACCCAGACAGATGCTGGGGCCTGGGCCTGCTCCTGGAGCACCTGCGGTCCATCAGCTCGCCCGGGCAGGATCGCCGGCCACCACGTGTCCACTTGGGTACCTCCTGTTGTTGGCCTGGCCCCCCGTCTGCTTGTCTGTCTCCCTGCCCCCACTCCCTGCCCACATCTTCCTCTGCCCATATCTGGCCTCTGGACAAGCTCTTCTGCCCCCCCACGCTCGCTGAGGCCCTCAGCTGGGGAGCTCTGTGGCGAGGCCGACATCCCACCTGGTGACGAGC